AGCCCCAGAGCCAATAATTCTAAGTGACCAATAGATACCCAACCTATCAGATGCACAGTTCAAAACACTGGTGATCAGGAAGCTCACAGAACTGGTTGATTTTAGTCACAAATTAGAGGAACATATGAAGGCTAAACTAATTGAAATGAAGGGAAATGGACAGGAAACCAGTAGTGATGGAAAGGTAACTGGAACTCAAATCAAGGGAGTGGAACAGAAGGAAGAAAAAAAATGACCAAACAGAAAAGGATGAAGAAACAAGAATTCAAAAAGATGAGTAGGAGCTTAGGAATCTCCAGGATATCTTTAAATGTTCCAACATCTGAATTATAAGGGTACCAGAAGGGGAAGAGGAAGAGTGAGTGGAAAACTTATTTGAACAAATAATAAAAGAGAACTTCCCCAATCTGGCAAAGGAAATAGACTTCCAGGAAATTCAGGAAGCTCAGAGAGTCCCAAAGAAGTTGGACCCAAGAAGGAACACACCAAGGAACATCATCATTACATTAGCCAAGATTAAAATGAAGGAGAGCATCCTAGAAGCAGCAAGAGCTAAGGGGACAGTCACCTACAAAGGAGTTCCCATCAGACTGTCAGCTGAGTTCTCAAAAGAGACCTTACAGGTAAGAAGGGGCTGGAAAGAAGTATTCCAAGTCATGAAATGCAAGGACCTACATCCAAGATTGCTCTATCCGGCAAAGCTTTCACTTAGAATGGAAGGGCAGCTAAAGTGCTTCTCAGATAAGGTCAAATTCAAAGAGTTCATCATCACCAAGCCCTTATTATATGAAATGTTAAAGGGACTTATCTAAGAAAAAGAAGATAAAAAAGATGAACAGTGAAAGGATAGCAAACTCACAGTTATTAACAACCACACCTAAAACAAAAGCAATCTAAGAGGACAGCTAGATCAGAAGCAGAACCATAGAAATGGAGATCACATGGAAGTTTAGCAACAGGGGAGTGGGAGGATGAGAAGGGGGGAGAAGTTTCAGAGAATAAGTAGCATAGATGGTAGGTAGAAAATGGACAGGGGGCAGGGCAAGAATACTATGGGACATATAGAATCTAAAGAACTTGTGACACATGGATATAAAGGAAAAGGGGGAATAGTGGGGAGGGTGTGTGCAGGGTGGAGTTGAATGAAGGGGGGAATAGGACAACTCTAATGGCATAATCATAAAATATTTTTTTAAATAAATAATAAAAAATAAAAAATTTCAATTTAGAAAAAAAAACAAAACAAAAAAACAACCACCTCTTGTTGGTTTCCAACTGGCCAAACCAGTTTTTCTGGTCTAGCTATCTGCAGCAGGCTAAGGGGATTGGTGTGGCTTTTCTCCCTTCCTGATGTGTACTCAGCCAGTCTTGTAAGCACTCTCCCAAGAGTTAGTCTGTTGCCTCTCCCCAGTGCCCCATGCAAGGGTTCCAGGTCTTCTTGAGAACACTTTCCCCAGGGTCATTGCTGTGGCTGGGCTGTGGGTGCCTGTGCGGCAGCCAGGTTGTTTGGGCTTTGGTGGGAGCCCTTCCCAGTGCTATGGGGGAGCTCAGGGCCTTACTCTTGCCTAGGTGGGGCATAGGCTTAGCAGCTGTCACAGGAAAATCCTCCAGTTTTACTTTTTGAGAAATTCCTCATACTCAAGGAGGAACATGCCGCTTACTACATCCCAATTCTCCAGCCAGACTAGTGCCTATCGGGATCAGTGCATATCACTGTGGGGCTCTCAACTCTCCCAAGCCGGCAACCACAGACTCCACCAGCGATCGAGGCCCTTGTGTGTTTGCCTCTTTGACCTTACTCCCCTCTCTGCAACTTTAAGCAACAAGGTCTCTCTTGGTGGTGCTCAAACCCTGCTTGGCCGGGGAGGGAGGGAGCAGTTGATCTGGCTCTCTCCCAAGGACTCAGTGACAGGCCCCTGGCTCCTAAAGAATCTGTGGTAGACCCAGCACTGGGCAACTGGGCACAGGCATGGAGCTATAGCTGCGTCCCTGTGCTGGTCCCTGGGACCTTACTGACCTGCAGTATTCTCCTTACATTCTGGTTTTTCAGTGTCCGCTACAATTTCTGGTCTCTTATTTTCATATATGGTGGGGTACTATTGGCTGTTTGTTCTGTTTCTCCATAGATCAGCCAGGTTTTCTCCTTGTCTTCCAGTCCAGAAGTAACAATTATCCCATGCCTTCAGAAGTGCTCTGCTCCCAATCCAAAGTGTCACAGCTACTGCTGTTAGCATACAAGTTTATTGTTTTTAGAATCTGTTTATTGTTTTTAGGTTGGTTGTTATTCTCCTTTTGCTTATGAGGAAGCGAAGGGTTTCTACCTAGGCCTCCATCTTGGCCAGAACTCCTGTTTAAGCTTTTAAAGTAGGGAGCCTTTTATTGTTTCTTATATTAATAAGGTGCTTCTAAGGTTTTAAATTTGTATATGCTTGCCCTGGCTGGTGTGGCTGAGTGGATTGAGTGCTGGCCTGCGAACCAAAGGGTCACTGGTTTGATTCTCAGTCAGGGCACATGCCTGGGTTGTAGGCCAAGTCTCCAGTAGGGGGTATGCAAGAAGCAACCACACATCGATGCTTCTCTCCCTCTCTTTCTTCTTCCCTTCTCCTCTCTCTAAAAATAAATTAATAAAATCTTTTTACAAATCTACAAATAAATATGTGTATGCTTTATGTTTTTTGTAGTTGACTTTATTAAAATAAGGACATTTCCTTTTGTTTCTAGCTTGCTTAAAGCTAGAATATTAAATATTTTGAAAAGTTGCATATACAGTACAAAGAATTTTTTGTTGGAACCATTTGAAATTAAATTGGGATACCTTTCTCAAATACTTCAGTGTGTGTATCTCCTACAATCAAGTATGTTCTTTCACATAATCATGGTATAACCATCAAAATCAGAAAATAACATTAGTACATATTACTACCACCTAATCTTCAAACCCCTCAGGGTTCATCTATTGTCCTAATAACTTTCTTAATAACAAAGGATTCTAATTCATGGGTTCCATATGGTTTTCATGTCTCAGATTTTCTGTTTTTAATTTGTTAGTAATATGTTAAGTGCTTATTTTCTGCTGTTAAACCATTCTGATATTTAACACTTTGATCATATTTTAGTGTAATATACTATTAATGTTAATTTGCTATTATTTTTGGTTAATTTCATTGGTATAATTTACATAAAACAAAGTACATGTGTTTTAAGTCTATAGTTTGGACAGTTTTTCTTTTTTTAAAAAATCCTCACTGAAGGACATGTTTATTGATTCCAGAGAGAGAGGAAGGGACAGAGAGAGAGAGAAACATTGATGCAAGAGAGAAAATTGATTGGTCATTTCCTGTACACACCCTGACTGGTCATTGAACCCAAAACCTAGGTATGTGCCCTGACCTGGCATGAACTTGCAACCTTTGACGTATGGGACAAAGCTCCAACCTACTGAGCAACCCAGCCAGGGACAGTTCAGAGAGCTTTAACACCTGTATTTACCAATGAAACCACCACCACCAAGATACAAAACACTTCCATTACAACCCTTCATGCCTCCTTGCATTTACTTCCTTCCTACCCCTAGTCCCTATAAATCGGTCTTGTCTTTTCTTGAGTCTCATATGAAAAGAATCCTATAGTAGGTATTCCTTTGTGTTTGGCTTTTTTTGCTCAGTGTAGAATTTTCTCAGTATAGATTCTTCCATGTTATTTATTGCATATATTTGTATTTTTTAATTTCTGCATAGTATTCCATTGTATGTATATAATCTCAATTTGTTTATCCATTTACCTGTTGATAGACATATCTGTCATGTCCAGTTTGAGGATATGAGGATAAATCTGCTATAAACATGTATATGAGTCTTTGTATGTGGGCTTATTCTTTTATTTTTCTTAGATGAAGACCTGTAAGAAAAATACTGGGTCATAAAGTAAGTATATGATGAACTTTAAAAGTGATTGCATCATTTACACTTCTGCCAACAATATGTAAGAGTTTCATTTGTTTCACCTCTTTAACACTTGGTATTTTCAGTCTTTTTCATTTTAACCAGTCTAGTGAGTATTTGTTTGTATATGAGTGTGGTTTTAATTTGCCTGAGGGTTATTGATATTGAGATTCTTTTCATGTGCTTATTCAACATTTGTTATTCTTTCTGTAAGTGTCTGTTCAAATGTTTTGCCTTTTAAAAATTTAATTGTTTTTATTTTATTATGAGTTGTAAGAGTGTTTCTTATATTCCTGATACAAGTTTTTTTGTCAGATAAACATTTTGTGAATGTTTTCTTCCAGTCTCTGACTTGCCTTTTTATTTTCTTATCAATGTCTTTCAAAGAGCAAAAAGTTTTAGTTTTGAGGAAGTCAAACTTATTAACTTTTCTGTGTAGTTTCTGCTTTTCCTAACAAATCTTTGCTTATGTGCCAGTATCACAATTTTTTTCTTTGTGCCCTTTTTGTTATTTGAGCATATGTGTAATGTTCATCTTTAATTCTGAGGTAGATTAGATTCTTTTGGTTTCCAGTAACATAAAGAAATAAAGGAGGCTATATCATAAGGTTGCAGGGGCTTTCCATGGTTCCAGAAGGCAGGCATGCAGGTGGGTCTAAGAGACAAACACTGGAAAGTTGTCAGGAACCCAGGATATGCTCTCTAGCCCTTATATCTGCTTTCTTCTTTTTGCAGACTGGCTTGCTCTGACCATGTGATTCAGAGCCTCTTCCACTTTCCTAGGATAGGGAACCTGATTGTTTCAGTTTGGGGACAGAGCCCCAACCTGGTCCAGTTAGCTATTGGGGGTTGGGATTCTGTAATAGAAAACAGCCTGGGGATTGGGGCCACTTCCAAAGAAAATCAGTGCGGCTTGTGATCTGCTCACATACTCCCAAAAGTGGTCACTATTCTACTATCTTCCACTCATGGTGAGTACTTCTTTGTACCATTTTTGACTTGTAGCTTTCACCATTAATTTGTGATTACTCCAGGCTTTTTTATTTTCCCAATCTGCAGCTGTATTCTTCAGCACTTGTGGAATATGAGGATCATGATCCATGTAATTATGATAGAAGTTTTGGTGTGAAAGCAGTAAAGAAAGAAATCTGTAGAGGAAGGAGGTTGGTAAGTATAAGTGATTTTATTACTCATACAGGATGAACAGACCCTTGGGATACCTTGAAAAGAAAGTCTATTTCATCCTCTAAACCAAGAAAGTCTATCCCATCCTCTAAATCAAGGATAGAGATGTATCTTGGAGAGCTGAAGGAAATGGGACCTTTATTGGAAACTCAGATTGGCTGAACATTTAATATTTAAAGGTAAATGGCAAAAAGCTTCATCAGCAAAATAGATGTGAGTTAGAATGGTTTTGGCTGTAAGTAGAAGGAATACCAACATAAACTGGCTTTAATAAAAAGGATGCTTATTTTCTCACTTAGCCAAAGGAGAAACAGCCTTAAGGTTGGTTGATTCAGTGGCTCAATGATGTTATCAAGAGCCTATCATGCTCTTCACCTTCTTATCCACAAAATCCTCTAGTTCCTTTTTGTTCATATAATGGCTGCAGGCAGCAATTGAATCATCGGACTTTCTTGTTTTTGTCTAAGGAATGAGAAAGTTCATCCCTAAAGCATGGAATAAGAGCCCTGAGAGTTTAATTGGGCCACACCCTTCTTTCTGCACCAATTCCTAGAGATGACTATAACTAATCAGGATCTACCCTTGAAGCTGGGGTCAGCTTTCAGTGATAAGGAAGATTGCTGAATACTCACCCTGTTGGGTCCATTGCATTTAGACTTCCTCCGTGAACGGCCCTTCACAGCAAGTGTTAGTACTTAAAGCCCTTACCACTACCATGATAAGGTTAATGATTTGAGGAACATTTATTTAACCCTTGCAAGGTGTCAGCATATATGGACAGTTTTTTCACAGCTTGACATGCTTTGAGAAGAATCAGCACAGGGTGCTCAGCAAGCAGATACTTCACTGTGACTGGGGCATAGGAATCCTTCCTAGTTGGGTGACAATGAAGATGAGGACGTGGGAATTTGGAGAGAGAGAACAGGATGTGCAAAAGTGTGGAAGGCAAGAATGACAAGGCACATTTATAATACTGTAAGCATATGACACTCCATTATCTGTATTGACTTCATGGAATTCCATAGGATGACCCAGAGTGCATGAAACCATTCCCTTGTTGTTAGATAATCAGTTGTTTCTGGTTTCTCCCTGTAACAACTAATGCTGCAGTAAACATCTTTGTACATATATCCTTGTGTACTTGTTTGAGTGATACTGTAGAACATACTCCAAGAAGTGGAATGGCTGAGTCAAAGAGGATGCTTTTTACAAATTTTAAAACATGCTGACAAACTGTCCCCCAGGAAGGTTGTACCACTTTCTACTTCTGTACACAGTGGATGAAAGAGCACTGCTCCCAACCCTTGACAAAAATGAATATCAAACTTAGTAACTTTTGTCAGTCTGAAAGAAAATTTTATCTTGTATTTCCCTGGTTACTGGAGAAATTGAACACTATTTTTCTTTAGACTTCTTTTATCCTCTCAGCTCACCCAGCTCCAGCAGTTCTTTAATGATCCCTTTACAGTATGTGGCTCCACATCATAACCATGATCCCTTATTGCAGTCACTCTCTTCCAAACACCCTGTACTCCCTCTCCCTACCCCCCACTTCCTTACTTTCCTAGCAAAGCCCCAATCCCAGTGAAATGCATCTGTCTGTTGCCTGCATGTCTGCATATGCTGGGTAGTGCCTACACTTGAGTAGTTGGGAACTGGAGAAAACCCACAAATGTGTTGGCTGATCTTAACTAGATTCATGGCTACAAAATACTCAAACAGACCTTCAAAATACTTCACTTTCCACATTTCCTGTTTCATATTTTCATCTCTCTTTAAAACCTCTCCCCACATCAACTTTCCATTCCCAAGTTAATAACTACACCTGATTTTTATAGACTTTATTTTTAGAGCAGTTTCAGGTTCACAGAAAAACTGAGGGGAAGTTTCAGAGATTTCACATGTCCTTCACACATGTACAGCCTTCCCCACCATCAACATCCCTCAACAGAGGGTGCATATGGTAAATAGTAATGAACCTACATTGACAGGTTATAAACACCTACAATCCATAGTTTACATTAGGGTTCATTCTTGTACATTTCTTTGCCTGGTTTTTACTAAGAAAATGGCAGCTATTAGGTAGGAACTCCTACTACCTAAACCACCAACCACCTACCTCTGTCCCACCTGGACCTCTGTGCTGTGAAAGCTAACCTTCCTTTTGGACTTTGGGACTAGTCCCCTCCCCTTCTTAAGGAGTAAACCCTTATGAACATGATCAACAGATCATGTCATCTTTAAAAAGAAGTCCCTTACCACAAAAAATTGTCAATTGCAATGTCACTTCTCTGTCCTTCGTTGACCTTTTAGCAGTATTCATTACACAGCTGTTTGTGCCCTGTACCTTGAAGCACTTTATTCTTTTGACCTCCTAGACATAATCTACTAGTGTATCTCTTACTTTCTGGCTGCTGTTTACTAGGCACTTTGGCTTTTTTTCCTTCTCTGCTCAACCTCTAAAGTTTGGAGTGCCCAGTGCTCTGCCCTGGGCCCCTTCCTCAATGTGAACAGCCTTCCTACATGACCTCATCCAGTTCTCATGGCTTTAATACTGTACTTATGCCAGTGGTTATATCTCTAACCCTGATGGCCAGCCTGACACAGCTACATGGATATCTATCAGCATCTCATGTTAAACTGGCCAAAAAAAGAACACACTTCCACCCCCCCCCACACACACATATACATACTCCATCCAAACCTGTTCACTCTTCACTTCAATAAACAACACATCATTTGTCTATCATCATCTCATCAACCTCCCAGCCCAGCATCAAGCCTGTCAGTGCCACCCAACAGCCTTTGCATCCTCTACTTCTCTCTCTGTATCACTACTCTCCTGTAATGAAGTCCCTGGTCTCCCTCTTTTGGATGGTTAGTGAACACTAGTGATACTTGTCTTGCTTTCTCTCCTGCTCATTCTTACCCCAGCCCATTCCCCACACAGCAGCCAACATAGCATCTTAAAAAAAGTATTGCTCACTTTATGCTCCCCTTGTATGAAGATAAAACCCTAACTCCTTACCCTGGCTTATAAGCCCTACATGTCACAGCCCTTCCTACTCCTTAGATCTTATCCCAGACTCTCCTGTTGCCTTCCTTTCTGTTTCTACGATGCTAGCACCCCCTGTCCAGCACTGTCTTTCCAGTACGTCTGCCAACAGAGTAGCTCATTCTTGCTTACAGAATAAGGCCTTCTGCTTAGAATGTCCTCTTTGTTTTTTGTTTTGTCCTATTTTTGCATGCTAGGAGCTCTTCACATCTAAGCTTCACCTCCTCAGAGACACCTTTACTGATCACCCAGTCTGAAGTACAGACTCAGTGATACTGTGTCACTTCACCTTATGCTGATTCTCTACAAAGCGTATATCATTGTGTTTTTAAGTTTGCTTTATGTGACCATTGTCTGTGTCCCCTATAATAGTAACTCTGTCTGGGCAGGTAGCTTATCCACTGTTGTCTCCTTATCCTAGAACAGTTCCTGCCACATCACAGCCATTCAATAGTCTTTAAATGAATGAATATTTACTAGTCATTGTATTTCTTCTCTGATTTGCTACTTCTCATTTTTCTATGGATTAGCAGTCTTAACCCTCTATCAAATATGCGGCAAACATTTTTCTTTCAACCTTTTCCTTTATATTTTAATGGTATCTGCCATTATAAAAATAGAAGTTTAAATGTTTTATATGTATAGTCAGATCTGTCTTTTTCTTTGTAGCTCTTGGGTTTCCTGCCCCACTTAGAAAGTCTTCCTTATCTTAATATTATACTTTTTTTCTTTCTCTGCTACTTTATAATTTTTTAAGATTTGTTTTCTTAAATACAGTTTTAGCTTTAATCCATGTGGGATTTATTTGGGAATATATTGTGAGGTAGGGACCTAACTTCTTTTTCCTGCAGATATGTTCAGATGGCCCCCCAAATTAAATGATCATTTTTTTGTGCCTTGATTTAAAATTCTGTCTTCAACATAATCTAATTTCTCACTTATATTTGAATTTTCTTTATTTATATGGCTGCTTGTGCTGACTTTGGGATATTATGTGAGCTGTCTCCTACTTTGCAAGATGGTTTCCTTGTGCTTCCACTTAATGCAGCCAGAGTGTGATGTAAATCAGCCCTGATCATGGCTCAGATTCCCCTAAACTTGTTAGATTCCAGTGGCCACATACTGTCCTCCCAGCCATTTCTATACCACCTACATATGTAAAATACCAGATCAACAGACTAATATATAAAGCAAGAGAGCAAATAAATTGAAGTAAGTAAAACCTTGTTACTCAGGGTTTTTTTTTTTAATTTAAAATTTGGGGCCCTACTACATAGATTCCAGAAAGGTTTTACTTTATTTCATAATGTTCTCAGTTTTAATTCTGTAAAACAGGCATTGTTTAAGACTCTAGATCTAAGAGGGGGCTTGGCTGGAGATCATACGGCTCTTAGTGGAGATCATTCAGCTCATATGGCCAGGAGGTGCCCTAGCCACAGACTCAGTGTCCATATCAGACCCCCATGCCTACACCTGGACAATTTTGCCAACCCCGCTTTTTGAAAATCTCTTTTTAAAAGAGAGAGATTATTTTTTAAACAAAAAGAGTTTTCTGCTTTTAATCAAATCATTACAACATAGTCTGTGCCAAGTGTTCTAGTTTGCTAAGTGACCGAGTATAAGTAATGTACCTGAGGATGTTAGGGCTGCTGACTTAAAAATAATATTTAATGACATGTTTAACTTTAAATTTTAGGAAAAATTATTAAAAACAGATGCTTACTCGGTAAAATTTATTATTTTGTAGAAATGCACATTTTGTGGTAAAAGAGGAGCTACCATGGGATGTGATGAAAAAGCCTGTGCCAAGAATTACCACTTTTTCTGTGCCAAGAATGACCACGCAGTTCTACACACTGGATCTGAAGGAATTTATAAGTACTTAATAAAACTCATTTGGGGAACTTGAGTAAGGAATGGTTAGATTAAGTCAAGGAGATTTTTAAGCTAATATTATGCAAGTCACTTCCAAGTAATAGCTTGGTTGGGGGTCCTTAGTTGGGAACCTGACTTCACAACACCTTCTCTATATATCATAGGAAGAAAATAAGCAGGATTGGTTTTGGTTTTGGTTTTGGTTTTGGCTGTACTCTTCCTACGTTCTTCTTTCCCAGTAGAAAGCACTGGTTGTCATAGTGGCATCTGTGGCCTGCCTAATGGGTAGCCATGAGACTGGAAACCAGTTCACATTTGCTCTTTTCTACAAATAGAAAAGGAGCCTTACTTGTTAGCCACAAGTCCATTATTTATCCATCTTGTCTGTTGAATGAATGTCTTTTCCCACCATTGTCACCACTATCTTACCTACATATAGATTCTAAAAATAATAAACTATGCAGCAGTAATCAGTGCTTTAGCCCTTGAAGGAAATTGTTTGTATTGCTTTTGACTTTTAAATGCTGTTTCATGTCTTCAGTCATTCTTTAGTTAATTTTGATGCAATAATGCATATTTCAAGTCCAGTAGAATTATATTTGTTTTGTCCAGGAAGAAACTTGAGCTTCCTTCTGATGAAAGGTTTCATTTCAGTTAAATGATCATACAGTATAGTAAAAAATAAGTAAGCCTGTTCTTAACTAAATTGATTCAGGTCATGCTAAGTTAACTCATGTTAACAAAGTATAAAACATACCATATAAAGTTGAGGAAAAAAATTCTTTCTTAAAATAGTTTTGACTTGTTTAAGGCTATGAAATGGAATAAAATAGAGAATAATTAAAGTTGAAGAGCCAGGCAGACACTTCTTACTTCTTTAGGGTATATCTGTGATTGTGATTGACATTTCAAGTTCTAGTGAAATATATATGTATATATACAATCACAACGTGCTGAATAATAGGATTAGTTAAGTGAGAGCATTATTTTTTAATATAATTTTTGTAAGATCTGTTACATTCCTAAATGATATTTTAAAATTCCATATGGAAGCTAGGTGTTTTCTTTCCTGTGGGACACAGCTCTAATTTTAATAGCCATTTTATGCCAGGAATACTTCCAAGTACTTTATAAATTTTAATTTATTTAATCTTCATAACAGCCTCACAAGGCAAATACTGAGGAAACTGAGGCCTGAAAGACCTTAGTAATTTGGACCCAGGCCACATAGCTTCAGGGCTCTAGATTCCTTGCTCTTCACCATGATACTGACTTTAAGTGTAGGGTCTATATATGCAAAACAATACAGGCTTGCCTACAATTAAAAGAAGTTTGTTAAGTAATTTTAAATCTGATTTTGAGCAAGTTTTATAGGTATTTTGTTGTTTGAAACTGGAAAGGTAATATGTAAATACATTAATTTTGTATTGTACTTCTTTTTATATTTGATTTCCTGAGAAATTTATAGATTGTAATATTCTTTTACTTTTTTATTGAAGTATAATTGATATACATCATATTAATTTCAGATATATAACAATGATTTGACATTTATATGTATTGCAAAGTGACTGGCATTCTAAGTCCATTTATTATCTGTTACCATACAAACTTACATATTTTTCTTGTGTTGTGAAACTTTATGGTTTACTTCTTAGTGACTTTCAAATTTGCAATACAACATTATTAACTACAGTCACCAAGCTGTACATTACATCCCCATGACTTATTTTATTTTATTTTAATTGTTCATGTACAGTTTTCTGTCTTTTATAACTGGAAGTTTGTACCTCTTGATTCCCTTTGCCCATTTCACCCCCATCCTAACCTCTTCCTTTCTGGCAACTACTGATACTCCGTATTTCTAAGATTGGTTTTGTTTATTTATTCTTAGTTTTTAGATTCCATATATAAGTGCAATAATACATTGTCTTTTTCTGTCTGCTTATTTCATTTAGCATAATAGCCTCAAGGTCCATCCATGTTATCAAGAATGGCTGAATTTTTTTATGGTTGAATAGGATTCCAGTGTGTGTGTGTGCATGCTGCACATCAACCACATTTCTTTATCCACTCATCTATTGTTGGGCACTTAGGTTGTTTTCATATGTTGGCTATTATAAATAAAGCTGTAATGAACATAGGGTGAATATATTTTTTGAATTAGTGTTTTTGCTTTCTTTGGATAAATAACCAGAAATAGATTACATGGTACTTCTATTTTTAATTCTTTTTTTTAAAACTTTTTTATTGATTATGCCATTACATTCGTTCTATTCCCCCCCTCCATTCCCCTCCACCCTGCATACCCCTCCCCCACCATTTCCCCCTTTAGTTCATGAACATGTGTCTCAAATTCTTTAGATTCTGTATTTCCCCTACTATTCTTACCCTCCCCATATCTATTTTCTATCTACCGTCTATGCTACTTATTTTCTGTACCTTCTCCCCCCTTCTCCTCCTCCCACTCCCCTGTTGCTAACCCTCCATGTGATCTTCATTTCTATGGTTCTGCTCCTGATCTAGCTGTCCTCTTAGTTTGCTTTTGTTTTAGGTGTGGTTGTTAATAACTGTGAGTTTGCTGTCCTTTCACTGTTCATATTTTTTATCTTCTTTTTCTTAGGTAAGTCCCTTTAACATTTCATATAATAAGGGCTTGGTGATGATAAACTTCTTGAATTTGATCTTATCTGAGAAGCACTTTATCTGTCCTTCCATTCTATATGAAAGTTTTGCTGGATAGAGCAATCTTGGTTGTAGGTCTTTGGTTTTCATGACTTGGAATACCTCTTTCCAGCCCCTTCTTGCCTGTAAGGTCTCTTTTGAGAAATCAGCTGACAGTCTGATGGGAACTCCTTTGTAGGTGACTGTCCCCTTATCTCTTGCTGCTTCTAGGATTCTCTCCTGCATTTTAATCTTGGCTAATGTAATGATGATGTGCCTTGGTGTGTTCCTTCTTGGGTCCAACTTCTTTGGGACTCTCTGAGCTTCCTGGATTTCCTGGAAGTCTATTTCCTTTGCCAGATTGGGGAAATTCTCCTTTATTATTTGTTGAAATAAGTTTTCCACTGGTGGCTGTGCCTTTCCCCCTTCTGGTACCCCTATAATTCGGATGTTGGAATGTTTAAAGATGTCCTGGAGGTTCCTAAGCTTCTCCTCATTTTTCTGAATTCTTATTTCTTCATTCTTTTCTGTTTGATCATTTTTTTCTTCCTTCTGGTCCACTCCCTTGATTTGAGTCCCAATTTTCTTTCCATTACTATTGGTTTCCTTTGTATTACCATGCATTTCAATTACTTTAGCTTCCATATGTTTCTCTAATTTGTGACTAAAATCGACCAGTTCTGTAAGGATCCTGATAATTAGTGTTTTGAACTGTGCATGTGAAAGACTGGCTATTTCTTCATTGCTTAGATCTATCACTTCTGGGGCTCTGAGTTGTTCTAGAGCCATTTTTGGTCTATTCGTGCCTTTAAGTAAGCAGAGCGGAGCGAAGCCTTAGTTGTTTACCAGGATGGGGCGACCCAGGTTGCTGGTTTGTGACGCTGTGTGTGGGGGCATGGTCAGAGAGGGAGCAATGGCGGTCCTCTCCGCTAGCCCAGTCCATCCAGTCACACCGCTTGCCCCGGGCCTGTTTATGGGATCGGAATTGTGCGAGCCTGCTGCCCCGCGCAGGCTTCCCTTCTCACTGGTTTATCCACACGCAGATGCGCGACCAACCAACCCCAGCCCGCCGTGCCTCTTCCCTGTGTGCTCCCGTAGCTAGCCCGCAATCAGCGCCTTTGGCTGCATGCGCACCGCACAAGGGGATTTTTTCTTGCCAACCTGCTCCGCTGCTGGCTTCGCTTCTCTTACCGGTTTAGCTGAGCATTTAGTTGTCTTTGGACTCCATATTGTCAATTTTCTGTGTGGCTTGGTTATGTTTATTGTTGTTAAAAATAGTTGTTCTTAGATTTGGTTGTGCACAGAGGCAAGGTGGTTCCACCTACGTCTCCATCTTGGCAGAAGTCTATTTTTAATTCTTTAAGACATTTCCATGCTGGTATCCACAGTGTCTGCACTATTTTACTTTCCCACCAACAGCATACAAGGGTTCTTCGCATCTTCACCAACACTTGTTGTTTCTTTTCTTTTTGGTAATAGCCATCCTAACACATGTGAGTTGATATCTCATTTTGATTTTGATTTGCATTTCTGATTAGTGATGTTGAGAATCTTTTCATGTGCCTGCTGGCAATCGGTATGTCTTTTTGGAAAAATGTTTGTTCAGAGTCTGCCCATTTTAAAATTAAACTGGTTACTTTTTGCTACTGAATTGTATTCATTCCTTATATATTTTAGATAGTAACCCTTATCATATGATTTATAAATATCTTCTCCCATTGGTTGCCTTTTTATTTTGTTGATAGTTTTCTTAACTATGCAAAACTTTTTTAGTTCAGTATAGACCATTTGCTTATTTTTGGTCTTGTTGTCCTCGCCTTTGGAGTTAGAGCCATAAAAACATCCTTAAGACTAATGTTATGGAGCTTATGACCTATTTTTCTTCTAGGAGTTTTGTGGTTTTAGGTCTTACATTCAAGTCTTTAATCCATTTTAAGTTCATTTTTATGGTGTAAGGTAGTTTCTTCTTTTGGATGTGGCTGTTCAGTTTTCTCCTGTTTCAGTTTTTCTCAGCTCTCCATGTGATCTCCATTTCTGTGGTTCTGTTCCCATTGCCCATTTTTTAATTGGCTTGTTTGTCTTCCTGGAGTGGAGTCATGTGAGTTCTGTATGTATTTTGGAGATCAAACCCTTTTCCAAGGTATCATTGGCAATATGTTTCCTATATGGTTGGTTCTCTTTTTATTTTAATGCTGTTTTTTTTTTAGCCATACAGAAGCTTTTTATTTTGATGAGGTCCCATTTGTTTATTCTTTCCTTTATGTCTGTTGCCCTAGGGGACATATTGGCGAAAATATTGCTGCATGAACTGTCTGAGATTTTCCCGACTATGTTCTCCT